AACATTATTCGCAATAACATGATAAATTTGCGCTTACTATAGTTAAATTGAGCGCATTTTTCTTAAGCGTGTATTTCCAATCAATACATATTCGAAGAGTTTGGTCATTCGTTGAACGTTAAATTAAATTTACTTTACAAAACAAGGTATTTTTAACCCTGCCAAATCTATGGTAGCCAGCTAACGAAAGAATATTTTAGAAACCAATCGTGCACCTTCGCCGGAAAGACGGGATACTCCCCCATGGACACGAAGAATTTGGTTCTTGAACCATTAACCAGCACCCATCTCCACACAGGTCTTTGACGCATGCGCTTACCACACTACGGTGTGTAGCACTGCATGGAGCGTCTTACCTCATTATTCCTACCCGGTTCTCCCCAACCTCAGAATAGCAGCTTTTGCCGCAATCTTGACGAGGAGATGCAATGGAGTTAGTTCCAAAATCACTTTTCATTAGCACGGCTAGACACATCTTCGTAGTCCCAGTAATGCAGATGCATGCAAGTCTCTGCAAATGTTTCAAATTCTTTCTTGTTGTTTCAAGTGAGACTCTTCCCTTCCAAGCCACCGTACCGTACGTCAGCAACGGTACTATCGTCATAGTACATATCAACATCATTAAAGACGGAGAGCATCTCCATGTTCTATTTATGGTAATCCTCGCGTCTTCGCCAAAGAAGCCTGCCATCAAGCACCACACCTTGGTGGTATTTGATATGGGTGGCAGATTTTTTTTTATTTTAGAACTTCTTTCAAAATAATCTGAGGAATCCTGTAGATTTTCCATGTATTTAGTGTAAACGTAACTTTCCAGGGTTTTTATTCTTTTAAAGCATTTATCTTAGAAAAAATCTCTTGAATAGGACATTTACTTTCTTAGCACGATTTTTTTTTTATTTTGAGTCCTTCAACAGCATGAAAACATGTATGAAAAATAATAAGGCGAACAATTTTTATGAAACATAATAGTAAAATAACAACAACAACATGAATTGAGAAAAAAAACGAAACAGAAAACTCTAAGAAACATCTACGTCCCCTTCACTCGAACTTCTTACTAATTTATTTCAGCAACAAATTCTCATTGTAGAATGGGAGCATAAAAATTATTATATATGTATGAAATGAATATGTAGATGAAATATAACAGAACGGTGAAAATACTTTTATTATTATGGCTATCGCGTGACCTTGTCCCCAATAAAATCATTTTGGACTAAAGGAAATTGTATTTTTTTTATTTTATTATTTCAGCGATTTTTTGAACATAAGTAACCCTCTAACCAATACCTAATCTCTTCTAATATTTATTGTAGAGTTTTTTAAAATCAGAAATGGGGTTCATGCCAGTTTACATGAAAAACATAAATTTTCTTGGAAAGTAAAGCATGAGTACATGTTTTCTTAATTTTTCTTTTTCTTGTTCTTCTTTGTATCCTGAAATCATAAAAGAAAAACATAAAAGGAAAATTTTCACCTTGGATTTTGTAAAAAACAACAACAACAACAAAAATAATACCACAAATGCTGGCTGGTGTCGTATCGTATAAGTTAACTACCTCAAACCACTCGTATAACCTGTTTACAATTTGATTTACGTTTCAAAAGTTGGAAAAAAAAATAAATGAACAATAAAAATAAAATAACTGTACAAGTTTATAAATATAAAAATTATTACAATTGTACGTCTGACCTCAATCAAACTTAATAACGGTGTAAGAGCAAGTTAACTACTCTATATGTAGATGGCGTTAGAAGAAGTCTATATGCCATAATTGTACCTACAGTTAAGTTAACAGTGAAGTTTTTAAATTTAAATATTTGCTTGTTGTTGTTAAAAGTTAGAAGAGTACAAAGGGTTGCTTTCGATTTCGTATGCTCTGATTGACTAAAATTTATTTTTCACCTCATGTACTTTTTATTTTCACTTCTATATTACCTTAAATAGTTGATAACGCAGTAGTTGTATGTGAGTGTTGGCTGAATTGAATAGTTTCATGCTAGTGCCATAAGAATTCAGCAATTAAAAAGTGAAAAAAGTTTATTTGAAAGACACATGAAGAATTGTTTTTTTATTCATTTCACAGTGTTTAATACAATTGTAAGAAAGAAAAAAGAACTTCTTATTAATGTGAATGTATAGTTAAACACTTTAACTAGTTGTTGTGTTCCATAGAACGTTAGGGTAATGGGAGCTTTAGTTCCAAATGTTTTTGTTTATTGCTATTCAAAATATTGACTGATTTAGAAAAGTAGCGAAACAAAAGACGACAAAAAATTTTCAATAAATTAAAAATTTTAATGGTAATTAAAATCTTAAAATCCTAATTATTAAAATTAAAATTATTAACACTAATTTGAATAATGTTAAGTTGGACTGGGCCTACTTGAAGGACCAATATTCAAAAATTTGGAACTAAAAATAAGAAAGCTTTTTTTCCTTTTCTAGTTTACATGTGTAAGGATCTTTTGTCACCATCTCTCTTATTATCAAAAAAATTGGAAATTCCAAAAAAATGTCGTTGTATCACGCACACAACTACATAATTTCATGTACTTACAAATATTAAATATTCTTAAAATATAAGAAAGTTTAATTTTTTATTTAAATCCTTTTACTAAGTAAAATATTGTTTAATTTTTATGTTTGTATGCTTATAAGAATATTTCGACATTTATTTATTTAACCAATACACTGTACAACAAGTTTCTACATGCAAATATTACAAATATAACAAAAGAAACAAAAAAATTCCCCTTAAATCCAAGGTCCCTTAATCATATATTGGAGCTAAAATTGTTAGTTTTAGTTTCATTGATTTTCATTAAATGCAAGTTCTATATTGAAAAGGAATTTATTTAAAAATTTTAATAAAAATCAAAAAGAAAAAAACTTTCTTTATATTGTGTAATTAGATGACCATTCATTTAATCAGCTTAAAGGTTTCTCCTTCACTATAAAGTTTGCTTAAGTATACCTGTTCGTGCTTATTAAAAATTGGTGTTTATAACACTAATACTATTACACTTGTTTTATAATAAAAATTCTGAATTCATTTGGGTATAAAAATAATTTTTTTTTATTTAAATTTCTTTGCTCTTTTTTTCTTCTTAATTTTAAATTTAGTTCAGAAAATTGCATATTTATAGGCATTATGTATTTATAGAAACTAAAAGACAATACGTAAAGCTACAAATATAATATTGCATATATTAAGGGCGACAATTGTTTATTGTTTGCACAAATTAGTGAATATAAAATTATTATGAAGGATAACAGTAAAATTGCAATATTTGATTGCTGTTACTTAATTTCAATTTCGAAAATAATTGGAGTTTAAATTTAAGAAAATATATGTATTTTATGACGACTCTTAAGATTTCAAATAAAACTGGGAAAACTAAAGAATTATTAAAAAGTTTCGGAATAAAACCAATGGTTTGTCGATCGCAAATTCCAACAAGTAAATTCTACATACTATTTAGATTAGTGCAAAAAATAAGAAGGGTGCTAAAACAAGGATATTCATGGGGTTCTGTTCAGAAGAAATAAATCATTTATTAATTTTCGAAAAATGTAAAAATCTTAAAATTCTACGACTTATCATCAAAGAGAAAAACAATTTTAAAAACTAAAAAAAATAGCCATGTTGATATTGTAAAATTTTCCTGTATAGCTTCACGATAAGCTGCTTTTAAGTCTAAAGTTACTTAATGGTTCCGATACATTGAACTATCGAAAAATTTTTAGGATTTTGAGGACCTTAATGTTACATAGCAATAAAATGTTGACTGTAAAGGCAAAACACTTTAAAGGCATAGACAATAAAATCGTTTTGCACGTTCTTAAACGGTGGTGTCTAGCTTTTAATATTTAAAGGCGTACGAAATATTGCAATTAGAAAAAGATTAAGTTAGAGTCTAGAAAATTTAATTTTAATTATAAAATTTTTTAAACAATAATAGTTCTAATCAAGTATACCATCAAGTTCTACAAAAAGTTGATCATACATTCAATTGAAACATTTCTGAATTTTTCAGAGACTAGAATTAATATTAACTTATTAAGCGAATTCTACTAGAATATTTTTGCACTAACCTGCAATTGAATACGTGACTTAAAAGACATTGTAAGTAATAAATCTAAAATATACCATCCTACTTATTGTTCCTAAATCAATTGTTTCACAATAATGAAGAAAACACTGAACTGAACAAACATCTGAATTTGTGGGAAACTCAGAGTTTTTGTTAATTAAAACATTGGTCTTTATTTGGTAGTTGTGTAAGACAAATTGATTGGCAACTCATATACAATGTCAAAAGATATTTTTTACAACAACGGCAGCACTAGTTGTAATTAATTGCTTGCAAATTGTACAAAATATTGTTGACATCGCAACTTGAAGTATTGAGTTCAGTAGTTGACGGAATGAAGTATAAACTATCTACCCTTGACTGTATATTACCCTATACTTTAATTTCTAAATCTTTAACTTAATGCAGGTGGGTAGCATAAGCCTTTATTTGTTTTTTTTCATGGGTAGGAATTTATTTGTTTTCTAATCACGTATATTTACTGTTATGACGTTCTTGTAACAATTAAATTTTTTTAAATTGACCATAGAAAATTAAAATTAGCATATTTTTTTTTTTCACTCCCATTGTAAATCATATTTTAATTTATGTATTTTTAATTCATGCAATGTTGTTTTTTTTTTTTGAAAAATAAAAATTTTAAAATGTCGCTAACAAAAAGGATAATGTGTAACGGCATTTTTAACTTTAAGTTTTCATATAAGCTCTTATTATTTCATTTTTTAATTATTTTATTTAAAATATTTTCAAACACTTTGAACACAAGGCTATTATTGTAATTAAAATATTTTTTTTTTCTATTGAAGGTTAATTTGGGTAATAATTAATAAAATTTTTAATATTTTGAAAGAAAAATTGTAAAATTAATTTTTCAATATCGAAAATTTAAAAAAACTTACCTTAAATGACTTAAATGATGAAACAACGTATGAGGCTCCATCTTCTAATTCATCTAAATTATATTTTCGATCACCATCCATTGAAAATACATAACGAGCACCACGAGGTAAATCAATTTTTGGTGATATTTTATCTAATAAATTATCCAATGATGTAATATCACGACCAGGACGATATCTTAATTCAACACCGGGAAAAAATGGATCACCATTACGATAAAATATAACACGACGTGCTTTCCAAAACGATAAATTCGAGTAACGACTTGACGCACCCATATATGGACCGGGAGTTTGTGCTCCACCACTTGCATTCACATTACCACCATTTAATGGACCATTTATATTATTACCATGACTAGATAATGGTAATTCTGGACGTGATTTTGATCTCTGTAATGGTACAACTGGTGGTTGTGACGAATTTTCGCTCATATTATCACCAATAATACTTGGTGGACTACCCGTACGACTATGCTGACCACCAATATTATTATTCAAATTATTTTGATTTGAATTACGCGTCCAATCGCCATAGCTACTACCACCATGATGATTCTGATGTATTCCAATACCAATACTATTGCTAGTATTACTATTATTTGTATTATTTACTAACATTGATGTAGAATTATGTCTGCGCCGCATTAATGTATTTGTATTATTGTTATTGCTGGTAATATTAGTACCACTACCAATATGATTACGATTTGTTTGGTATAATGAATGATGATGATGATTTTGATGTTGATGAGAACGTGTTGTATTATTACCACCGATAATACCACTTGTTCCAATAATTGCTGTACCTTCGGTATCATATATTTCATCATCATCATCACTATTATTGTTATGATTATTGTGATTATGATGTAGATTAAGATTATTTGAATTATGATTCAAATTTTCCAATGAATTATCCTTTGAATCAGAATTTATATGATCATTATTTGGACTTATACTAGCACTATCAAGTCCACTATTATCGATAATACCACCACCACCACCACCACCACCGCCAATACCAATACCGTTACCACTACCACCATTACCGTTAACAATCTGGTTGTTATTACTAATACCACCAATGGATGCGTTTTGGTCAAGTTTTGTTAATGCATTGGCACGTGGTGATGGCATTCTACCATCAATTTCATCAGGTGAACCTAATTCATTGGACATTTCCTTATTTTGTTTTTATTGTTTTGATTTATATAAACTTTGATTTTTGTATACCTATATGTCGGATATTCAGGTGTATAAAATGTAGAGCTTTAGGTTCTTGTATATTCTTTTAAATTGCTGTTAAAGAAAGAAAAAGAAGAAATTTTATATTTGCTATTTTACTAAAGACTTAAACAAATAAGGATATACAAAATATTTATTCAAAAGCAGTAGACCTAATATAAATGTTCGTTAGAGTTTTTTTTGAACATTTTTACAACTCTACATGTATATTGCGTTCATATATGCATACTTGATATATAAGGTAGAGGAAAATGTAGTTTCAAGAATTGAATAACAACCATACAGCCCAAAAATTTAAAAGAAAATGCAATTTTTGTTACAATTTTTGAATATTTATTTTTTTATATTTTTAATTTGATTTTTATAAAACGAATGTCCTTCATTACGGTGGAACTTTATACTTGTTTATTATAATATACGTATCCTTTATGACGTATAACATTCAGGCAAAATTAAGTATGCTTTTTAATTTTTTAAAGGAATCCGCGGAAAGGATCGGTGGCGAGAGTACATGAAAATTATATTTTAGCTTATTTGAAATATTTTCCACTTAAATTATTGCTAACATGAAATTCGTTTTGAGCGCAATTTAATTAAATAAATTGAAAAACATAAAAGGAGTTTTCCTTTCGTTACACGTTTGAATATTTTTCTAATGGATTTTTAATATGCTTATACCAAATAAAACAATTTACCATATTCTCACATCCAAAAGGTGGACTGAAATAGTTGGATTTTTGTTTTCTTTTTTGTTTTCTCGTTGTACATTTAAAAAAAAAAGTGAAATTGTGATTGCAAGAAGTGGCTAAAATTTTCAATGGAAAACTTTTAATGTATTAAAACAATTAAGTTCAAACTATAGTGGACGTATGTGAGGTCTTGGACTATGAGTTCTTTTATAAATAAAAATCATTGTTAATAAATGGTTAGGCTCTTATTTTTTTTGAGATTTGCTATAATGAAAGTACCTATATAATTTTGCACGTATATATAACAAGTACGGCTCCTAGTTGGGAATTTTTAGTATATAGAAAAATTAGCAATTGTATATTACTTGTGATAAAGCGAAAATTTAAAAAAATAATGCAATTTCATGTGAGAAAATGAAATTGTTTCGCCTATTTTGTTGTTGTTAGTGTATAGATTTTTAAATGACTGTATGCCTAATTTCATATTCAATTATATAGTGGATGATATTGATTGTAATTATAATGATAATTGAAAATAAATAATACTTTAAAAAGGAATTAAAATTATGGTTATCATTCAATATGGGTGTGCTAAATGGTGGGTGTATTTGAATTTAAGTTGAGGTTTGCTAATTCTTGAAAATATAATTGTTTGTACCCTTTTTAATACTTTTTTAAGAAAAATAATTTTACGTATTTGGAAATATCTAATTTTTGGGGTTTTGGGGTATTACTTTTGAAAATGAAAATATTGTAGGAAAAGAGGAAGGATTTCACCCATATTTCTTATGTTTATCTTTAGAAGAAATTAATGTACTCAATTAGTGTATGTATATATTTTGAATAGCTGAGGCGGAGATGGTAATTTAAAATAAACAAAATTAAGTAAAAACAAACTAGAGCATTTTCGTTTTACATGATATGCTAAATGTAGGTCGCAAGAACTGTTATCTCACACAAATGTGTTAAAAAATTACAAAAATCTCATAACAAATTGAAATAAAAAAAAAATATTTTTCTTATAAAATTTATGAAAGAAAAATGTAAATTCTTTGTTTAAATAATCAAATAAAAAAAAATGGCCTCAAATAATTTTAAAAAATTACCAACACTTTTTTTTTTCCTTTTGAATAAAATGGTCAAAAGAAAAAAAGCTGCATGGCCAACATTTTCATATAACAAACTTATGTGTACATGTATGTGTTTTATTTTTATTAAAAAAAAAATTAAAGAAGGACGAAATAATAATAATTACTATTAGTCATACAAATCCCACCCTCCCGGAGTCACTAACGTCTTGAACTACATTTAAACTTTTAATAAGAAATCAAAAACAAAAATGGTTCTTGTATTTGCTAAATTATATTATTTTTTACGTATTGCCATTTAATTGGGATTGCCAGTATTTTTAAAACATAATAGAGGACAATTTTTAAACACTTATCATTTTATATGCAATGTTTTCACTTGATTTTTGTCAAATGCTTTATGAAAACTAAATGAGATATGCTGCAATATACCAAAAATTAAAGTTTTAAAATTTGCAAAAAAGTTTTAAAGAAATTTTAATGCATACTTTTTTCTGTATTTTCTCGAATATTATAAGAATTAAGAAACATTCAGTAAATGGTTGTTGCATCCGCTAAAAATTTATTAGTAAAATTTATCACCCCTGTTGAATGAAAAATTGACAAGGGGCGGCGAAGGGGGTCAGTTTTAAGTTAACACCAAAAAATTATATTAACATTTCGGTTAATAAAAAAATTTTGTCGTATAATATATTTATGACTGTGTTCATTTACTTTTGTTTAAAAAGGTAATTATTATTACGGAATACAAAATTTTATTGCGAATAATAAAAAATAAAAATCTTAAAAGGACTAAAATAAATCATTGATAAAATAAACTATGATATTGTTATATTTATTGCTGTACATGTAAATTTATTATAATATTGAAATTTTTAGTAAAATGAGACTATGATTGATGAAGTTAAGGAGGGTGTAAAACGTATAAACCGCAAGTTTAAGGCTTAAGAATCAATATAGTCATGGAATAAATTGTAAATATATTCAAGTTTTTAGTGATTTTTCAGTTTTATTAAAGTAGAGAAAAAGGATTTTTTTTTAATTTGTCGCGTAAAATTTTATTTTATAATGTGGCCGAAGTAGCCGAAAATATTAAAATCCGAAAAATAAAATTGAAACTCTGAATTATAAGAACATTAAGAGTTCTAAAAATTTTTGGAACAAAATAAGAGCGGTTTTTCAAAATATGCAAATTTTAAACTGGGACTAATACAATCTGCTTACAGTCTGTAAGTGTAAGAGGTTCAAAGCTTCATTTCGATATTAATTAAATCTATATTCATTCAATTACCGCATGTAAAATTGACAGAATTGCTATTATTTTTTTAATTTGTTCAATGATTTTCCAATTGAAGATATAGAACACAAGAAACTATATGAAATTTCTATTAAAGAATATTTAAATAAATTTTGGATTTGAGCTTGTTAACAATCTGGGATTTTTTTTTAAGCAAAAAATACAACTTGATTTTGTAAAATTGAGAATTGAATTTTAATTTCCATAAATCTGTAAATTTCTTAATATTTTTTTTGGTTTTTTAATTTAGCAATTCAATAATTAATTTTTCTCTGCTTAAATTCAATAGCACTGCCTTAAAAATTCATATTTGCTTATTATTATTACAGGTGAGAGTAATTATTAATTGAGAGTAATTTCGTTATTATTGAAGGAAATACCCAAAGGTTTGCATTAATATCTTCAACATCACCTCTAAAATCCTTTAACTCTAATTATTCTTGCATATTAAATTTTATATGATGGCATAGACTGGAAAATAATTTGGAAAATTAAATTCGTAATTTGCTGAAAGCGAAACTTCATACTTTCAATTTTTATACAACAATATAAACTATTCTTTGTTTTATGATTTAAGGACTTTGTGAGTGACGGGAATACCCTACATTTTACCCTACATTATTATTCGCATTATATATTATTATGTTTGTACACTTATTTTGTTTTCCAACTTAAAAGGCAAAATATTGTAATTACCTAGAAACAAAATTATTATTAAATATTGAATTCGGAAATAGCGGAAAATAAATAAAAAAAAATCTAGACGCAAAATAAAATAACAAAGAAAAAAATAACAAAATATAATTTGCCGGCTAATAAATAAAGGGATATTAAAGGATACGTGAAACAAATGTAAAAATTAAATGAATTGAACACTTTTTATAATTTATTTATTATTGTTTTAGTATTTTAGTTTAGTTCGGGTTCAATAACATTGTATAATAAATTTATTAATTATTGTAATAGTAAAATAAATATTTGGGTTATAAATTGATCGGAAAATGTATGAATAACTAATGAAATCGGCAAAATATTTTTTGCTATATTTTACATACCTACATAAGAAATAATAAAACTGAAAATTTATCATTGAATAAAAGAGAAAACATTTCTGTTGAGTTTTAAATTTGAGATCTTATTGGTAATATGAAGAAGGGAAAGAACTATTGTAATTGAGAATTACAAAAAATTAAAAATCTTTAGAACTGAAGCTACAAATACTAGCTCAAATTAACAGCTTAGCACCTGACAAATAATAGTTTTGCAAACAATAGAAGCGTTCCTAATATTTTACGTCATTGTAAAATGAAATAGGAACTTTTAATTTATATATAATAAACTGTAAAAGCCTCTTTCAAACATTGTGTATGTGAAATTTTTTAAACCTCCTGATAAAGACCATTAAAAATTTAAATTACATTGAAAATTTGAAGTATTTACGACCGATAATTTTAAAAGTATTGTAAAGAACAATAAAAATTGTAAAACTGAATTACAAGAAAATATTTTTTTATGCAAATTTACCATTGATTTTACAGTGAAAATTTTGAACTAAATTATTCATGGATAAAATAAAAAAAAATAAACAAAAGGGAGAGGTGGCTAAAATAATAAATTCATAGGTGCACAATTATTTTTCAAAAACAATTTTTGTATAACAAAAAGGAACATTTCGCTTTCAAATTAAGAAACCTTTCATTTAAATTCTTAAATACTTGCATTTTCACAATTTATAATAATTTTAACAATTTGCTTTAATTTTTGCGAAAGAGAAAAGGTTCAGTTTTATTGTAACCCATTAGAAATCGACTAACTATAAAATTTTTTGGAAGTGTTTTGTAAGTATAATTAAAATGTGTG